ATATATATATATATATATATATATATATATATATATATATATATGTATATATATATATATACATATATATATATATATATATATTATATATATAATATTATATATATATATATATATATATATATATATATGTATATATTTACATATATATATTATATTATATATATATATATATATATATATATATATACTATATATTATATAATATATATATATATATATATACATATATTTATGTATAAGTATTATATGAATATAAATATATATATATATATATATATATATATATATATATATTATATATATATATATATATATATTTATATATATATTATATATATATATATATATATATATATATATATATATATATATATATATATATATAAAGAGAGAGAGAAAAAGAGTGAAAGAGGGGTGAATAGATAGGTAGATAAATAGAGAGAGATGAGAGACAGATAAATAGATCGTTTTATAGATAGATCGAGAGAATGATGTGTATATAACTTCTATTGTCGCCTTGATTAACACTGTAATTCACATGTCACATTGTCTTGCACCGAGCAGGTGATCACTTCAGGTATTGTAGAAATAGAAATCTCTGTGCACTTGCAAGAGCCCCTCACGCCACTGCATCTCTGCTCGGTGACAAGCAATGTTACCCCAGTAGAGGTTTACCGGTTCCGCCAGATATTTGGTATGTAGTTAAAGGTGCTTGGCTTTTGTTTTGCAGGCTCTGACAGCACTGACAACAGCATCACGCCCACTACAGCAGTAACAGCGAGGCCAACACGCCCACCTACAACCACACCCTTCCCCGTCAACAGCGATAATAACAATCTGGATAATGGCATCCCACTCATTACTGTTAACAGCAACAATAACAGACTTGATGGTTTTAATGGATTTAATGTTCTTAACAGCATTAACCCCGAGGATGTGGATATTAACGCTCTGATCACTTTCTTCAACAACCGAAGGAGGCTCAGCACCCGTAGGCCACGGCCAGGCCTTAGGGGGCCAACAGCATTGGTGACAGCCCGAAAACCTTCTCCCACCCGTCCCACTACCACAACCACACCCCTCCCCGCAATCACACCTAGCCCCCAATCCCCTACGCCTTCCACTACCCGATTTTCCATACCTACCACAACACCCACTTCCACCACACCTGTGCCTCCTCCCCGAAGCACGACGCCCACAGCCACAACATCACCACCACAAGCCACGACCTCCACCAGAACCGCGTCACCAACCACAACTTCTTCCCCTCAAGGTCCAGCAACCACCTCAGCCTTCGCCACCAACCAGGTCTTCCAGCAAAGGACGGGCCCTCCTGCCGTAAGACCTAACATCTTCCCCCAATTTTTCGCCGACAACCAAGAAACCGAGCAGCAAGAATTTGAACCTGCAGAAACCGAGGTCGAACCCGCCGAGGTAGAAGAACCACAGGAGCAAGAGTTCATCCCCTTTACGGGAGTTCAGCCCCAAGTGTCGGACCTTATGCCTTTCCTCCAAAGGGCAGGAATGAACACACAGGTGATCCGCACTGCCTCCCTCGCCAGCGTCCAGGGAATCATCAACAATCTCCCAGTGGGACTGAGGCCCATCGTCCTCTTCAGGTATGTTGTGTTCATATTTCAGGCATGCTACAACCACCGGGTCGTATACTTTATTTATAAGAGAGGTAAAATGAGTTTATGTAATACGTTTCCGTTTCTCACAGGTCGGGGTCAGGCCACCTGACTGAGCTGGACGCCCAAACGCTCCTTCCCCTTCGGCGAGTTGGCCGTTCCACCACGACCAAGCTCCCCAACAAGGAGCCCAGCGTCCTCCTTACTTGCGACCTGGATGTCTCGCCCTGCAACATCAAGCCCGTAGGCGGCGTCTGGTCGAAGGGGAACACCGAGGGTAAGGGAGAGGATATACAGCGAATGAGATACTGATGTTTGATTTTCTCTGCACCAGTGTAACCCCATCCAGCATACTCTAACCCTATAAATGTCTATCTCAGCTGAAGGCAACTTCAACCAGGTTCAACTAAATGCGGGAGAAGGATCACAGGTGGTGGTGCAAGAGCTGGTGTCTGCTCCCACCACGGACGCCATCTGCGTAGGACTCTCACACTGGCGCTCCCTCCTGCCTGAGGCCGAGCTCAACGGCACCCTCCCGGACGTCCAGGTGAGCCGGGCGCCGAAAGCGCGGTTTTGATAGATTTAGTCGCAGATAGGCTCGACTACAGCTCTTAGCATGCAGCAGCATTATTATGCTACGCATACACAGTAGTTCGTGGACTTCCCGACTTATCTATTACATGCATTCTGCCAATGATATGGATATTAGATAATTTGTACTTCTCACTATATATTCCGCATGGACAGACCTTTTTCAATTTACGATTATTTCATCTTTCCGATAAAAGGATTCATACATTTGTAAAGAAAAACATTCATTACTAAGACACATTTCGTGCCTTTCTACTCTGATTTTGGCAAAATCG